ACAACTTGCATGGAGCAGAAAGAAGACCCAGAATACACCACGCAAGGCTTCTGCACCATTTATTGTCCCGCGTTAAATTACGGGAAGGGGTATGCCCTGTCTCTTATACACATCTAGATGTGTATAAGAGACAGCGTGTCTACTCGTGTGTATTTGACTGGTGCGCCCTTTGTTTTCAGAAAAAAATGTCACAACTTGCATGGAGCAGAAAGAAGACCCAGAATACACCACGCAAGGCTTCTGCACCATTTATTGTCCCGGTCTCTTATACACATCTAGATGTGTATAAGAGACAGACCCTGTATATAGTGACATATAGCTTACCACTGACTACAAACTGGGTGACCCTGCCGACCACGGCAAGCTTCTAAGGAAAGGCAGCCCATTTAGCTTCAACTTCTAGGTATGGCAGAGACCTTTCTTCTGCGTATGAGTCTCGTTAATGCTGTGTGACATGTGTGATCGTAATTGTGTGCCAGTCTGGATCTTATGTGTCAGGTCCTATCTTTGAGTCTGGATGTGCACTACATTACATTAGATCGTTGTCAATGCCTTCCATTATATGTACAAGGCTCCGATGGCTATTGCCTATTCCTCGCGGCCTTGCATCCGGTTAGCTATTGCCAATGACTAGTCCTTCCTTACACGCTGGTCAGCAGGCGCGTCATTCTCTTTTTTACAACTTTTTAATTGTATGTCAAAATACAGCGCACCAGCCGACCCTGCTACGCTTTTAAGGAAAATAGGCTCATTTAGCCTCAAGTACTATGTATGGTTGAGACCTTTCTTCTGCGTATGAGTCCGCTCTTTGCTGTGTGCCATGTGTGATGATAATTGTGTGCAAGTCTGGATCTGATTTGTCAGGTCCTATCTTTGAGTGTGGAGGTGCACTACATTACATTACATCATTGTCAATGCCTTCCATTTGAGGCCAGCGAGGTGGGTGTTGCCTATTCGTCGCACCCTTGCATCCGGTCGGGTATTGCCAATGACACGTCCTAGTTTACATGGTGGTCGGCAGGTGCGTCATCCTCCTTTTTACAACCTTATAATTGTACGAGAAAAGACAACGCACCTGCCGACCCGAGTAAGCATCTAAGGAAAGTGGGCCCATTAACGCAACTCAAGTACCAGGTCTGGCGGAGACCTTTCTTTTGTCTACGAGTCCTGTAACTAGTCACATATAGCTTACTACTGGGTAGAAAAGGGGGGGGGGGGGGAGGGGGACGAGTACGAAGAGGAGGAGGAGAATATCCCAACAAGCAGTCCCAACTATGGTGGAGAGGG